TATTTTACATTTCATTCAAATTCAAAGATTACAAGGTCCCTTGTACTAGTTCACTTTAACTGTTAGTTACCCCTTACCTATAAATTGGATAATACGGTAATAGCGATAAATAATATGTAGGTATGTGTACTTATGATAGCAAATGTAGTCAGTGAAAATCTCAATACCCTAAATTTGCAATCAAAGATGATTAATGCCCGGTTTCACCATCAATGCCTAATTTAATATAATTTAAGTGACCCCTATGAAAACGAAATTCCTGTTATGTGTTAAGGGTAACCATAGGGTCACTTAAAAATTAGGGATTGATGGTGAAAACGCGCATAAGTTTAATCAAATCTTCATACATAGTTAGTTAGGTGCCAATGATATTGAACTTTGTTAGAAAAATACTCAGTCTCCATTGTCACGGGTTAGCTGTAATCGAATCGACATCGTCAACAGTTGTCACACTGTCTACGCAAACTGTTAAACGCGAAAAGCATGTCGCTTCGTTTCTGACACTACAGATATCCCTGTGGGCGCAAATGCAATTAAACCAGTCCTTTCACCAATATCGCGCCAACAATGGAAAGTGGAGCGATTTAACCGTTCTGCGATTTATATTCAAAGCTTTATTTGTTTCTGCGACTGTTGCCCCTATTTACTGTACCTACTTTAGTTATTAATAAATATGCCCTGATCGATGATGTTTCAATTTAAATAGGTTGAATAAGTAAGCCTCAAACTATAGTACTTACTCGTACGTAGTATACGTAGAAGAATTTTCTTTTATTTTCTCTAAAATAAACAGAACTTTACTAAGTATGGCGACTGGATAAACATACCTCAGTACTTAAATATGAACAAATGAAGTAGTGTTTCCTTAATATAAACATCCACTGCAGTCATAAAATGCATGTGCTTAAGAAAACTTTATTAGTGTTGTCGCTTTCCCAAAACGTAGTAACTTAAAATATAAAGTAAATTAGATACAAACACTTGTTGTTGAACATAAAGTATGACTGGCTTAAATACCGGCGATAATTTTAGTTAACATTAGCGATGCCTATTACGCTTGAATCGTATCAAATCGCATATTCAGGTAGGTACTGAAGTCGTCAATGCCGGTGAGTTTCCGCGGCAAATAAAGATTTATTCTCTAAGTCTAACTGCTTATTGTCTGCAGACCTTGCTTTGACTTGTCGGTCTTGACAAACCTCATCCACATTACTTTTATGTGCCAATAAAAACTGCCTATTGAAGATGAAATTGAAAATCTTCTAATAAACTACTGTTCAAGCTCATTTATTTATGTAGATACATTTATTTTACAAAATTTTGCACACTTATTCACCGCGGATAATGCTTTAGGCCGGTTCCCACAAAGGCGAAGCGGTGAAATGTTTAGAATAAGCAATCAGATTTCATTCTGTCAATTTCATTCAATCTGAATGACTCTTCTTATTCCTTTTCGCTCTTGGCAGAGCGGTCGTGGTCACGTTGAGGCGTTGTTCCCATCGGTTGTAGAGGCGGATACAACTCTCCGCACGATCTCCCGCCATCTCTCTCTGTTGGCAGACTGTCTGGTGCAGTCACATACGCCGTCTCCCACTGCCGATTTCACTTGGTCGGTCCAGCGCATAGGTTACCTGCCACGCGAATTTGAATGACATCTGATTGGTTTTTCAAAGCATTTCACCACTTCGCTCCATCTTGGTGAAAACGGAGTCTAGAAAACTATAATATTGTGCATTAATTAATAGCTCAGTAACGATTAATGGTGTTATTACAAAAATTTACAGTTTTTATTGGCACAAACTACATTTAACATCTAACGCCTGTGAGTCACGATCTCCCCTGATGATGATGGCAACCGAATTCGGTGCAAAAACAAAAACAATAATCATTATGGAAAACAAAATACCTACATTAAAACTTTGTCAAACTAACGATTTGTCGTGGGGAAACTTCAGAAACTATTGTTCGAGCGGTCAAGCGGTTGTCGACTGAAAATAGATCTTTTACCATGGGTTATAAGAAGAAATATCGCTAGACACATGCGGTTGCTAGAATAGTAAACTTTAATGGGAAAACTGGAGTTAGTTTTTCGCTGTCAGATCGAAGAAGAATGGCAGATATGGCACACCCCACAATATAACTAACGGACTTTTTACATGTGACACATTGGTAGAGTTACAATTAATCCAATCTACTAATTCTATTATGTAAATACTACCTACCAAAGGAGGTACCAAACAGAACAAGTCAGTGAGTTTATTTTTGTTTAATCCCAAATCCGTTTGTTGAATTAAGTAGTTCAATTAACTAGAAGTTTAAAAGGCACTTAAAAAAGAAAAAGTTTCAGTCATATAAATTGTATAAGTAATTCCCCATTCCTTTCAGCGCGTAGAGCCTAAAGTAGTGAAATATCGCGTGACCGGTAACACCGAAAGTATCAGAGATCGTTCACTGATAAATTCCGTATCTGCCATTGAGAGTTACGCGTTTTATGCGGATCACTATAGGAATGAGGTATAGCCCGAAACGGAACGCTCGCGATTTTGTTCTGAAGGTTACGTCGGATATCCGCAAACAGAAGTATTGTGGAACCAAACGTACACCTACATGTATAACTTGAATAGTGTAATGTGGCAGTTTGAAATAAAACATTCTCAAATGAAAAAATAGAGCACTTACGTTTGTTCTAAAGGTAGAGGATGTTCTTAAGGTAGGTATACCTTTCTACACTGCACTGAGCCACTAAATCCCAATAGGGGTTTTACTGTTAACGAGTACGATTGTCACTACAGCTGTACTACATTAATAGAGTCTTGGTTTCAAAGTTGCAATCCATAAAAATGCTAAAGAAGTTGTTTTCAGATAATAAATGTTTCGTCATTAACTTTATAGCTTCCAGAGCTAGACAAATAAGTCGTAATAGAGTCATTACATAGCTAAGCAGTAGTAAAAATTTATAACTGTCAAGTTTTACTTACTTATTGCAAACTTATATTCTAGCTGTTATAACAGACAGACTTTAAAAGGAGCGAAAACCATTCAAACGGAATTCCTGTGTCAGAACAGTACGTTTTGCAATTGGTAACCAATGTAGTATGTACTTTAAGTAACCCATGGATACTTACTTGTGCCTTAGATTGCATAGAAAATTGGCTTTTATACTACCAAGAATACAAGAAACAGAGCCAAGAACATCTGGCAATCGATCTTAATAGTTCGATGAACCTTGATCGATGCATTGTCTCGCGTGCATCGCTCAAATATCCTGCCAATGTCACATGCAATGGGATGCCTCAAGGACGTAGTCGCGGTCTCACGCTAGATATTCATGCAATTTATAGCATCGAAAATCGTAACAGCCTGTATATGTGCAGTTTGAGTCAGCTATCACCTGCAATAGATAACGTTTGGGAATCGCACACGGAATAGGAGTTATTGCTTTTGCACACGGGCGTTATTTGTAGAGCATAGGCATTAATGCACTATTGAAGGTCGCAATTTTTGTGACTATTGTTTTTTACGCTTGCAATATGCCGATAGGCAAGAATATTATAGTTATTATACTGTAGCCACAAAAAGTTATGCTGTAGGTTTAGCTAGACAAGTGTCACTTTTTGATCGAATCGACAATCGAATCCGTTCACGGAGCGATGTAACTAAGAGCCTTTCGACCGTCTTTTGACATTACAGCTGTAACGTTTTGCCACTTGTCTAGGGGGCTGGCTGGTCTTCCGGAAATTGATGATATCTCTACTGTACCTACCTACGTACTTACCTAAACAAAAAGTAGAGCAAAATGTATTGTATTACATTGCAATATAGGATTTAAAAAGCAGTTGTCCGTCCGTCTGTTGTTGTTATTATATCCGCAAACCGCAGATAGTGAACCTCGAGGTGTGTAGTCTGGCTTACCTTCACATGACACCCACAAATTACTTGCAATAAACTTAGAAAGTAGTCAAATAATTAACAAAAACACGATTTTTTAATTATGCCCAATAAATATTTAATAACATAGGTCGTATATTTACAACCTTATAAATTACATCAGCATCATGACATCATAGAAACTTTTGATAAATTCGACAAAAAACTTATCATTAATGAACATCGGAACGAATCTTAAAAGATTTAGAGAGTTTATTTTAATGATTGCGCCAACTTAGGTGTTTATGTTCATAGCTCTTCTTAATGATTAATTAATTCCATAAGTATCGATGATGATGATGATTCGCAAAAGCAAGTTATCAAATAGAACAAGGTGCTTATGAATAAATTATTAAAATCATGTGTCATCTGAGACTTAGCTTGGTTATTCGATGTTTACTATGAAAAAACATGGTACCTGCCTACTTATCGTCCAAACCCACGGTACAGAATCACCAGGCGAGGCGTGTAGGAGTCAACCTCCATTTAAAATCTGTCCGAACGGTTTCATATGAATGAGATTACTATAGAATTCATACTTACTTACGGTATGAAGATTCGAGCGTAGGTGCACAAAGACCTGTATTTACTACTGAATATCTGCAATCCTTATCAAACTTTCTTTAATACACGTACCTACTTACTTGATACAAGCTATATTTTTACCATTACCACGGATTGGAAGTCTTCACACTTGCGATCGTATGAGAATGGGATGTCGAATTATAAAGCTAGAAACAAAAAACAGTCAAAAAGTTACCTCAGATCACTGCTAAATTGATATCAGTACCTATGCCGAATACTGAAACACTACTCAAATTTTTCACTCAACTGAAGGGCTTATTGTTTTGAGTAGGTATGTGAAATGTGAGTTTAGGAGCTGCATTATTTGAGAAGCCCTCAAATAATTTAAATGGCGTTTCAGTATTCGGCCGTTAGTCCTCTTTTCTCGATTTTTATTCCACTGGTTTTCAACTCGTGATGAACTGAACCTGTATTGTCTCTAATGTTTTAGAAGTAGAAAAACCTGACTTAAAGCCATAAAACTAAAAGCTATTTTCCTTCTCCAACAGGCACCAAGAAGATGGAGTACAAGACCCGGCAGTGGCATGAGAAGTGCTTCTGCTGCGTAGTCTGCAAGAACCCCATTGGCACCAAGAGCTTCATCCCTCGTGAGCAGGAGATCTACTGCGCCGGCTGTTATGAGGACAAGTTCGCCACCCGCTGCGTCAAGTGCAACAAGGTGGGTCTTATGTAGCTGTGATAGGGACGATTTTACATTCCAACAAAGATGCTTGCATTGCAAAAGACCAAGAGCTTCATCCCCCGCAAGCAGATCTACTGCGCCGGCTGTTATGAGGACAAGTTCGCCACCCGCTGCGTCAAGTGCAACAAGGTAGGCCTTATGTAGCTGTAATAAGGGTGATTTTGCAACGGCTGTCACCTGTACATTGGGACCAAGAGCTTCGTCCCCCGCGAGCAGGAGATCTACTGCGCAGGCTGTTATGAGGACAAGTTCGCCACTCGCTGCGTCAAGTGCAACAAGGTGGGTCTTATGTAGCTGTGATAGGGGCGATTTTGCAAGGGCTGTCACCTGTACATTAGCACCAAGAGCTTCGTCCTCCGCGAGCAGATCTACTGCGCCAGCTGTTATGAGGACAAGTTCGCCACCCGCTGCATCAAGTGCAACAAGGTAGGTCTTATGTGGCTGTGATAGGGTCGATTTTGCATGGCAACTAATACATATGTAGTCTGATAGAATGTCGCCTGTATATTGGCTCCAAGAGCTTCATTCCCCGTGAGCAGGAGATCTGGAGGAGGAGTTATGAGGACAAGATCATGTCTGCGACTCAGTTGAACCAATCAAGTATCTCAACTCAACACAGTTAACATTCTCCTATTATGTGGGTTTAACAACTGAGGTACCATCATCGTAACCAACACTAACCCTCACGTCCCTCATTTGGCTTGTAAAGGTGACTGACTTTCTTGCGCTACCTGATGCCCGTTTTTACCATCAATCCCTAATTTTTAAGTGACCCCTATGGTAACACATAATATGAATGTTGTTGTCAAAGGGGTCACTTAAAAATTAGGGATTGATGGTGAAAACGGGCATGAGTTTCTTGCGCTGCTTCTTCTGAGCACTGGCTCAGTTACCAGTGGTAGAATTAAAGTTATACTGGGACGTGTAAAAGCGCTTTAAACAGGTCTTATTTGCAGAAAATTCATGACTTTGACTTTGATTCCAGATCATCACGCAAGGCGGCGTCACGTACAAGAACGAGCCGTGGCACCGCGAGTGCTTCACGTGCACCAACTGCAACACGTCGCTGGCCGGCCAGCGGTTCACGTCGCGCGACGAGAAGCCCTACTGCGCCGACTGCTTCGGCGAGTTGTTCGCCAAGCGGTGCACCTCCTGCACCAAGCCCATCACTGGTGAGTTAAAACTAAGATAACTCCAATCTATGGACTCTTGGGTCTTTGAACGATGAAAGTTCACGTCGCGAGATGAAACACTATTTCGCCGACTGCTTCGGCGAGTTGTTCGCCAAACGGTGCACCTCATGCACCAAGCCCATCACTGGTAAGTTCAAACTAAGCTTATTCCAGCTAAGTTACGGCCTCTTGGGTCCAAAGAACAGCGGTTCACGTCGTGCGAAGAGTAACCATACTGCGTGGATTGCTTCGACGAACTGTTCGCTAAGCTATGCACCACTTGCATCAAGCCTATTACTGGTGAATGGGAAATAGACTAAGGTTCAATAAGATTAATCTAGAAAAGAGTACGGATTCTTGGGTCCAAAGAACGTTGGTTCACGTCGTGCGACGAGTAACCATACTGCGTGGATTGCTTCGACGAACTGTTCGCTAAGCTATGCACCACTTGCACCAAGCCTATTACTGGTGAGTGGGAAATAGACTAAGGTTCAATAAGATAAATCTAGAAAAGAGTACGGACTCTTGGGTCCAAAGAACAGCGGTTCACATCACGCGACGAAGCCCTACTGCGCCGACTGCTTCAGCGAGCTGTTCGGCAAGCGGTGCACCTCCTGCACCAAGCCCATCACTGGTGAGTGGGAAATAGACTAAGGTTCAATAAGATAAATCTAGAAAAGAGTACGGACTCTTGAGTCCAAAGAACAGCGGTTCACATCACGCGACGAAGCCCTACTGCGCCGACTGCTTCAGCGAGCTGTTCGGCAAGCGGTGCACCTCCTGCACCAAGCCCATCACTGGTGAGTGGGAAATAGACTAAGGTTACTAAACAAGTTTACGGGCTCTTGGGTCTTTAACGATGAAAATTCACGTCGCGCGATGAGAAGCCCTACTGCGCCGACTGCTTCGGCGAGCTGTTCGCCAAGCGGTGCACCTCCTGCACCAAGCCCATCACTGGTGACTTCAAACTAAGCTTATTCCAGCTAAGTTACGGACTCTTGGGACCAAAGAACGTTGGTTCACGTCGTGCGAAGAGTAACCATACTGCGTGGATTGCTTCGACGAACTGTTCGCTAAGCTATGCACCACTTGCACCAAGCCTATTACTGGTGAATGGGAAATAGACTAAGGTTATGTAAGATAAATGGAGAAAAGAGTACGGACTCTTGGATCCAAAGAACAGCGGTTCACGTCACGCGACGAGTAACCATACTGCGTGGCTTGCTTCGGCGAGTTGTTTGCCAAGCAGTGCACCTCCTGCACCAAGCCCGTCACTGGTGAGTTCAAACTAAGATAACTCCAATCTATGCTAAATTTATGGACTTTTGAACTCTCAAGAACTCTAGTCTTTGAACGACAAGTTCACGTGGGGCGACGAGAAGCCCTACTGCGCCGACTGCTTCGGCGAGCTGTTCGCCAAGCGGTGCACCTCATGCACCAAGCCCATCACTGGTAAGTTCAAACTAAGCTTATTCCAGCTAAGTTACGGACTCTTGGGACCAAAGAACGTTGGTTCACGTCGTGCGACGAGTAACCATACTGCGTGGATTGCTTCGACGAGCTGTTCGCCAAGCGGTGCACCTCATGCACCAAGCCCATCACTGGTGAGTGGGAAATAGACTAAGGTTATGTAAGATAAATGGAGAAAAGAGTACGGACTCTTGGATCCAAAGAACAGCGGTTCACGTCACGCGACGAGTAACCATACTGCGTGGATTGCTTCGGCGAGTTGTTTGCCAAGCAGTGCACCTCCTGCACCAAGCCCGTCACTGGTAAGTTCAAACTAAGATATCTCCAATCTATGGACTCTTGGGTCTTTGGATCCAAGAACTCTAGTCTTTGAACTACAAGTTCACGTCGCGCGACGAGTAACCATACTGCGTGGACTGCTTCGGCGAGCTGTTCGCCAAGCGGTGCACCTCATGCACCAAGCCCATCACTGGTGAGTTCAAACTAAGATAACTCCAATCTATGGACTCTTGGGTCTTTGAACAATGAAAGTTCACGTCGCGAGATGAAACACTATTTCGCCGACTGCTTCGGCGAGCTGTTCGCCAAGCGGTGCACCTCCTGCACCAAGCCCATCACTGGTAAGTTCAAACTAAGATAACTCCAATCAATAGGCTCTTGGGTCTTTGGATCCAAGAACTCTTAGTCTTTGAACGATGAAAGTTCATGTCGCGCGACGAGTAACCATACTGCGTGGATTGCTTCGGCGAGCTGTTCGCCAAGCGGTGCACCTCCTGCACTAAGCCCATCACTGGTGAGTGGGAAATATACTAAGGTTATGTAAGATAAATGGAGAAAAGAGTACGGACTCTTGGATCCAAAGAACAGCGGTTCACGTCACGCGACGAGTAACCATACTGCGTGGATTGCTTCGGCGAGCTGTTCGCCAAGCGGTGCACCTCCTGCACCAAGCCCATCACTGGTGAGTGGGAAGACTAGTTCATCTATACAAAGTCTACGGGCTCTTAGGTTCAAAGAGATGTGCATTCACAGTGTGCCTTCAATGGCGACGAAAAAACGCAAGTTCATCGCGAAAGAAAAACCAGAAGAAGAAGATGTGCATTTACAGGCGCAATGTGACGTATTGCTCGCGGTAGTCCGCTTAAGATCCGCTAATGATTAACAGGCATTAATGTCTATGCTGGCAACAATAGCCTATGTTAGGTGTAAGGCCCTAATTTACCAAGTCCCATAAAGTGATCAGCCAATGCTTGTAATATTTTTAGATCCTAGACACCTCTGCTCTGTATTAGAGGTTAATGCTTTGACTCTAGGCGACGTTTACACCTAGAATTATATTTTCATTTAAAATTCAATTAGTTACATGCTCTATAGAAACCTCAATTTACCCAAAATGGACGGTTACAATACAACCCTATTTACCATTTGTAAACAATAAAACTTGTTGTTTCCAGGCATCGGCGGCACGCGCTTCATCTCGTTCGAGGACCGCCACTGGCACAACGACTGCTTCATCTGCGCGCAGTGCAAGACCTCTCTCGTGGGCAAGGGCTTCATCACCGACGGCCAGGACATCATCTGCCCCGAGTGCGCCAAACAGAAGCTCATGTAAATACTCCAGACGCACGCTTGCTAACGCTTGCCTCTCTCGGACCGCTCTGTGTCTGTATTATTTACCACCCCCGATTGTGCCAGCGGGGTGACAAATGACGATCGCACGAAACGAATCATCTGAATAGTCATTTGTTTTCTTCTATCACGCAACTAAACGACGCGTCACGTCTTCATCCATTCGAACTGTGACTGACCAAGATTTTTGTAATTGTGCAGCGCAAACACCATTCTACCGATAGTCGCTAAAGCCCGAGACTGGTGCACGTTAAAGCAACCGTCGAGCAACGCCCGTACGGCCGACCCTTAGTTATTTGTTACTTAGAAGCGTTGTTGACGATATTTTTTATACAAAAAATCGAAAAAAAATAACAAAAAAATGTGGATGCACAAAATATGTATTAAGTATTAATTTCGCTTTTCTACTGAACTTTACTTAAGGTGTTTATATATTTTGACTGTCTAGTTTGAGATATTGTCACTAATACCGCGCGGTGATTTCATCCACTTTATTTATTAAATTATTGATATCTCCTATTCATGCTAATGCCATATAGTTTCGCTTTGGCTGTTGTATTAGTCATTTAGATTATATTGTCAATTTACCTAGTGCGATTCACACGATGCCTTAATATCATATCTAAGTCAATTTCAAGGGTAGGAAGCATAACTTGAATGTATAATACTATATCTTCTTAGATCCTTATCTTCTGGTGTTGCCAGATTCTTGATTTATATTAGACATTTCCGAATGGAATGTATTAAGTGCTTGTCATTGTTAAAATGCGTAACATAGTTTTTAAGAATACTATTGACAGAGTAATTAATGTATGTTTAAGTATTTATTATAACGGGAGGACGCACTTATTATTGCCGCCGGCCCGCCAGGCCGCCTGTCGGGCCGGCGTCACTCTAACACTTACTTAAGTGACGCGAGTCATCTAGTTTTTGCTAATAAAAATTAATAATATAAAGTATTTTTGTTCTCGAATAGGCATCACTTGTATTACAATAATGTAATTGAATGTTATCGATATTTTTACATTTTAATGTTAGCATAGTGACACCTGTGTCGAGCGACCGACCACCAACCTGGGGAACACTTAAGGGTTACTGTTAAGGGTTAAATTATTCGAATGTTGAATAATATTAATTTATAATAATGTGTACACATTTAAATTGCTTAGCTGTGTGATCTGATCTAATTAAATCTTTGTATCTATCTACCCATAGAATGTAAACTATGAAACTGAAATAAATGATTCAAAATAACTGAATTGTTCGTTATTATTTTAATTATAAACCCCTATATCTATTCATAATGAAAACCAAGTATAAAGTACCTATCTAATATATTTATTGAGGTTTTTTCAAAAGCAAACAATAAATATTTTTCTCATACACATTCTTTACTTACAACTATTTATCAAATCGAAGATGAACTTCATCACATTTTCTTATCATAATCTTAACTTACGCTTAAGAGATTAAAATTTTAATACGTCAATATAATTTACAAATCTACATGGTATACTCAGGCCACTTTGTTGTGCAATTTTGAGTAGGTGCATGATTTAAGCCAAGTTTAAGTACATAAAAAGCCTCTTTAAAATTTTGCTACAAACTAATATTTATGGATACGATCTGATTATTTATATTTCCAAGACCTGTAATTATTTTTTTAAGGCGATGTGTGTCCATATTGAAAATTTAAATTTACAAACTTCTGAGTCCATTCAGAAACTGATAGAGCTGAATGTATAGTTTACTACAGTCGCCAATAGACATGGTAATAATCTAAAGCTAAACAAATGGCCCATAAGCCTAGGCACAGACCACCGATTTTTAGTCGGCCGATAGTTGGGTCGCGCTGTTGATCAGTATGAACGAACATGTATGGAAGTGCGCACACTACACCGATTTGGTATCGGGCGATTCTTCATAAAAAAGGAAATCGATCCAAATATTAGCCAACTAAAAGTCGGTGGTCTGACCTAGTCTAATATGGAACCTTTCTGCGAGGTAGGAGATCAGAAGCTTAATTTACATCTATCTTTAAATGCAACTTGATTATTTTAAAATTTCAAAGTAAGTGGACTATACATTCTTGATTTTAACTCTTACATCAATATCAGGTTGTGATGAGATACAGCTTAATGTACCAACCGATGACTCATATTATAGTATGTACAATGTACAGATTTGTACATAACAGATTTATCATATAAATACAGTGGTTTGAGTTCTGAAGCACATACTCATGTACTCTTCCTTAAAAATTGAAAGTTATGATATTAACATTTGCCCATAACATTTTAAAATCATTTGAGAAACTATTTTTTACCATGATAGAATGCAGTGTTACGCAATTTATTATTTTCATGTTAATAAAAGAGAATTGATCTTAAAGTACAAGTTACAAATTTTAATATCATGACTGTTCATTCATTGTCAAAAAAAATAATTAGCCAATCACAATCAATCGAGAAATATCGAGTGGTTATGATTTTGACCCAATTACTAATCTGTAGTAATAGCAAATAAATAAATAAACATAATTTAGACTCAGTTTTTTTTTATCCACAACGAGGAAGCTCTTGGCCTGTATCTCACCTGATGGTAAGATCATCATCAGGCCAAAGGTGGAAGCGAGCTTCACCCAGAATTCTCAACCACAGAGAAACTGGCTATCTAACCTCTACCTGCTGGAACACAACAATGCTGTTAACATTGTTGTTATGGCGACAGACTTAGGTAAGACTGGACACTGCAGCTTAAACAAGCACTTGTCCACTATGGGACTGTCCGAAACAAGAACGTGCAGGATGTGCCAAGAGGCAGATGAAAACCTTTGATGCGCAAGCGGAGCTTACACCTGGGCAAACACATCCTAAGCCCACAAGATGTAAAACATATCGCCTCCCAAAAGATACTGCACTTCCTAATGTATGCAGGACTCGGAGGCGAACGGTAAGGAAAACAGCGGCGATCACAATACGGCACACTGAAAACCAGCGTCGTGGCTTCCCTCACCGGGGGCCACGGCATATGCTGAGTGGGGTCCCATTGCGATGGGCATCGCTGTGCGACAGGGTGGCACTGCTTAGTTTACTTGCTCACTCATTGTATGTTTTATGTCACCTCTGTCTTATTTGCTTTTTTATTTTTTTTTATTTTACCTCTTTTGTCTTTTGTGATGTCCATGGGTATCCTTCCGTTTGGCCAAATTACTTTTCGCCAAATTTCACTTCGCAAACAACTTATCGCCAAAGTTTCATTTCCCAAATAAACTTTTAGCAATTGTACTTTTCGCAACTAATTCAGTTGGTCAAATTAACATATGGCCAAATTTTACTTGGCAAATGTTGATATAGCAAATGTTTTATTTTGCCAAATATTATATCCCAAATAATTTGCTTCGTCAAATTGACACTTCACATACTTACGAGTACCCACCGTTACCCACAAATCAAAGCATAAGGCACATGGTCATGGTTTTCACAAGAATTTTATGTAAAACAGAGAGATTGCAGAAAATAGTATGGTTGCAAAAAGTAGGTATTGTAGAAAATAGTAGGTTAGGTTAGGTTAGAACAGTGACCCTTAATGCGCGAAGGCGAGCGAAGCGTGCCGCGGCAGCGGCCGCCGAGCGCTAGAATCATCTCTATTGTTAAGAGCCATTTCACAAAAATATTCCGCGCGAATTTAGGTAAAAGCTGTCAACGCAACGTCAAAAGAGTAAAAAGAACGCTGAAATGGACAAAAAAATCTTGAGCCGTGACCGTATTAAGACTTGATTTAAGTTATTAATTTTAAGGTAGAATGAGGTATTCAAACTTGATTAATTAATTTAAATTTTTAATAGAGTTTATTAAGTCTTTTATATTTCGATTCATAATGAAACACGAATAGGTATAATATGTAAAATACAGTGTGAGTCACGTTAAAGTGTACATATGGAAATAGATGAAACTAGACCTATTTTTATCGACAAAAAAGAAGTCAAAAAATTTTTGAGATTTTTTTTTAAATTTTTTATAGAATTTTTTTTCTTCCAATTACTTATTGTAAAGAAAAAGTAATAACTTTTAAACTAAGCGGTATATCCTGATAAAATAAAAACAGTAATAATGCTAAATAATAGGCAATACTAAAAAAATACATAAAATACACCAAAAAGGCCAACAAATAATAAAAAATGATACTTTTTGAAAAAAATCTACTTTGAAATTCGTGTTTTTTTGGTTATTTGATAAATTTATCCAAAAAATGCCCCTATAACCTGTGGTTTTTATTACTTTGTATTATTCTCTATCGTATTACCTTCGTAAAACCAAAAATCGCATGTCTCTATCCCTATCACAACACTTGTTCAGTGTACCGTATAGATGCCCCCATTAAAAGGAATGTAGCTAGTTTAGAAGGACCCTGTATATTAAGTACAAAATAAAGACAGTCACATAGTGNCTTAAGATAGTAATTCATGCTTCCAAAATCTTAGAAATTCGCACGAAAATGTAAAATGGCTCTTAATGAATCATTTGGAAATTCCGATAAAAAGAATGAAATATGAAAATTTATTTAGAAAAAATTTTATATTAACTACCCACTAAAGAAAATAATAACCACAAGCTAATTTGTATTCCATTCTATGCACCAATCAAATTGTTTTGTAAATAGTTTATCGTGAAACATTTTTGCCAAATGAAACATTTGGCAAAACATACTTTGCCAAACAATAATTTGCTAAACAATAATATGCCAAAAACGACATTTGCGAATTAAAAGTTTGCAATAAGTTGTTTTGCCAAATGAGAATTTGCCAAATGAAAATTTGCGAAACGTTGTTTGCGATGTGATAATTTGGGAAACGTTTTTTGGCCAAACATTAGTAATCCGATGTCCATGGCAATAAATGTTTCTTTCTTTCTTTCAATAGATCGATAACGGTTGCAGTGATACTAGGACTTTATTGAACTAGAATAGCCGCTCAACACAAAATAAAAACAGGTAAGACTTATGCGCTTCAGAACCCCAACCACTCCTTACAGCTACCTTACCCCTCAAACTCGTCATCGTATCAGTCCGTCCCAAAGTACTTCTGTCCGAAGTGGTTGGGCGCTACGGGATGCAGTTCAGCCGTGAGGATCTTCATCTTGGGCACGTAGTCTACGACTGCTTGTACGGCGGCCGGTGTGCAGAATAGGTTGGAAAGGATGATGCGCTCTTCTTTGACTCCGTGCTGGGTTAGGACGTTTACTGCCTGGAAATTAGATAAACTGTCATGAGCAAGGATGCACTTGCACTTTGCACTTTTGCATAAACCTCGAATATGCAGTGTACTAGACAGGTAACCTGAATTTAGGGTCTACATCAAACTCAGAATAAAGTATTGTTTTCCAAAGGTCATAATAAATAAGTTACTTCAACTTCACTGTAAACTACTCAAAAATAACATAAGTAAGTAAACTAAAGTAGGTATCGAGGTTGACACAGTTGCCATGATTTAGAAGAATGACTAGGCCTGTTCATTTACCTTTTTTTTACCGATGAAGATTGCTCCTAAATAAGATAATTGGAAAGAACTCCAAATAACTTACCTGTTTAACGGTGTTCCCTGTAGACATGATGGGGTACATAAGCAGGACCTGTCTTCTCGCTATATCCTCGGGGAACTTGGCGTACACCACGTGTGCCTCGTGTGTGTCCGTGTCGCTCTCCACCAGGATCTTGCCGATACGAATCGAACGACAGCAGTCGCGGAGCCCCTGCAGGTCGCAATTAAATAAATAATAAATATCCTTGGACATTTTACACTGCGCCGCTAGCCCCAAACTAAGCAAAGCTTGTACTATGGGTACTAGACAACGAAAACACTAGAAAACACCCAGACCCGTCACAGAAACTAAAATTCATAATTTCAAATTCTGCCCGGGAATCGACCCGGGACCTCTCGGCATAGTAGTCCGTTCTGAACCACTACACCAAACAGCTGACAGAAATTAACAGATGAATACACAGATAGTTCTATACTACACACTTCAAAAATAAACCATTATTATTTATTAGTGAATTGAGTTGCTTCTCAAACTAAATTTTTAAATAAACAACTAGCAGAAAGGTCGTGGGTTCGAGTCTTGGTTTAGGCAGTTCGATTTTTTCAAGTTGTTTATTTAAAAATTCAAAAATAGACGTACAAGTAAATTGATTAATCTTATATTGCACAACACAAGATTGACAAAAATTAGAATGGTATAATTTTATATAGTTTGACACTAATTTTGACTGGAGGAGAATGCCGACTGGCATTAAGTCCACCTTATGTACAATGTTATATGCATGTAAATAATAATTTTTGACCTGGTAAGTCTTAAAAAACTTGGCAATGCCCTCTTTTACACAAGCTGAGTGAAGACTCATTATTTTTGAGCAATTTGAACACTAAACATAACTGTGCATATTGACTATGAATAACAATCAACTATGATCCGACATTAATCTTGTTCATTTATAGCAGGAGTGGCCAATCGCTCGCGAATATTAGTCCAGTCGATCGTGGCAAAGCAAAAAATACTACATGATTGTGTACTAAACTATGCCGTTTCATTTAAGATTTCAAGAAGTGTGTAAGTGGTAGATCGCCCAGGGTTTCGTTAGTAAACGGTAGTTCTTATGTCTAATCAAGTTGGCCACCCCTGATTTATAGTGTTCCAAAAATTGTTTGAGAAATTACCTTACAGACCCACTACTATTACTTAGCAAATTTGTTACCTGTTCCATAGCTTCTCCGGATCTAACGATGGACACACCACAGTTGCCAGCGCCATACTTGAGCCCTTTGTAGAGAGCCCCTGTAGGAGTGATCACTTCACAGTCCGTGAAAGGCAACTTGTTTAGGCTTTCTTCAATCACCAGACGGATCAACCGATCAGCGTAGAATTTGAAGTCACTTCTGGAGGTGTTCCTGGAGCAGATTACAAGTAATCTTAACTCTTTTAGAACTTTAATAATCTAAAGAAAAACAAACAATGATCCAATAAATGTTTATTCTGATTTATTATATCTGCTAAATACATATTTAAAAACAATATCAGCTCCCAAGTACATAACTAAATACTTGAAATAATAACTTTATTTGTCCAAAACATAATTGTGATGTTAAAGAAGGTAGGCACATGTTAAAAATTATTATAGTACATTGTTAGGTGAGATTGACAACTACCCTTCGCACTAGTAATAAAACAGTAGAGTAGTGACAGCCGTCCAAGGTTAGTAAAAATCTTTTGTAATATTCATCTCCTTTTATTATGTCGCGCACAACTACGAATACTATTAGTAAAAACTTTGTATTAATCTGACAAATAGTAGATGACCCTCTGGTTTATTTAATAATCTATCGTATCAGACAATCGAGTAAAGTAAATTACTAAAAGTTGAAGTACATTTATTTCAAAATGCGTTCAGAGATTGGTTTCTAAATATAGACGAACATGTGTTCAAAAGATACATTTTGTCTCACAGTACTGAAAGCCACAACTACAATTTAATGTTCAAACTCGTGTATAGATTTAACATGATAGTTGATATTGTATTATTACAACAAATAAAGCAGAAAAGAGACTCGTAACAAGTGTAATGAATTGTAACCTTACTTGTCTCGAAGTATGGTTTGCAGCTCCTTTATGTTGTCGTTCGATGGTAGAAGCGTCAGGCTGTCTCCAAATTGTTCCTTCACCTCGTTAGCATCCCACTGCCTTACATCATTGTCGATAAACTCCATTTTAGATTATTATTTTTAGAAAACAAATACACAAACACAGAACAGCAAGTTGCAAAAAATTACAACTTTTCTAATGTCAATGTCAGTTTGACAGCTGCAAATACAAACGTCAGCTGATTATGTTTTTTTTTCATGGCAATGAATTCAGTAGTGCTTGCAGTACCGGTTTTGCTACCGTCTTATCGATACGGTAAAACGAATTTTTTTTTTCAACAACACTGTCCGGTATTACTATTACGACAATGAATAAAGTTTACCTGCTGCTGCCTCTGAGAGTTTGGGATTGGGAATTTGGGTCTGGGGTTGGGGACCGTGGATGGGGTAGCCAAAAATAAGGCTGCGTTTCCACCAGTTACAATGTGTTACGAGGTTTGCGCCTACTGTATATTTTTCCACTACAGTGCACCCCATCGACATATTTCACAGCTTCGCATCGCATCCTCACATACATCTCTTGTGGAAACGTAGCCTAAATCTAAATCCCATTCAGAAGGACTATACAGGGTGGAAACGATAAGTGATCTCATCCGATTATTTCTAAACTATACAAAATATCGAAAAACTGGTTACTGATCCTGAAAGTGCTTGACGAGCTCTTTCAAACGGTGCTAATAAACGATTACAGAATAAACTGGAACTATCCGAAAATTCAATGTTTCCAGCTTCCATACATTTGGTAAAGTTACATAATTTTAAAAACTACACAAGATATCGTAAAACTGGTTACTGATCCTAAAAGTGCTTCACAAGCTCTATCCAACGGTATCAATATCAAGTTACAGAATAAACTGGATCTATCCTAAAATTCAATATTTCCGTCTTCCATACATTTAGTACAATCACAGTCATGGCACTCATCTCTTGATAATTTTATAGCAAGTAAAACCTAAAACTAATGTTTTTCACAAATAATTTTAAATAAGATGCAAGTTACGAGTTTATTTAACCGACTTTTTAAGTTTATTGTTTAACAAAAAATAAATTACACTTCTAATATTGTGTCGTCGGCATACATTTAGTATGGAAGCTGGAAACATTGAATTTTGGGATAGTTCCAGTTTATTCTGTTACCTATTATTGGTACCGTTTGAAAGAGCTTGTGAAGCACTTTCAGGATCAGTGACCAGTTTTTCGAAATCTTGTATAGTTTAGAAAAAATCGAGTGAGATCACTTATCGTTTCCACCCTGTATAGTTCCAAAATACTGAACTGTCCTATGCATGACATTGACAGTGGGGCGCCACCGTCAATACCGGATCACTGGTTCCGATTTTTGCCATGTTTGGAAACCATATAGTTGAACGATGGTAGCGCCCCCCTGTCATTGAGTTTGGTGGGACAGTTCAGCTTGGGTCATCATCTATAAGTCCCTGCTGTGAGTTTTTACTCTTACTAAGTACAAGAAATAGAACCAGATAAATAGGTATACATCCTTTTCAATCAAGTAAGTATGAATATAGCCTTAGTTCGGAACTAAGGCCTGGTTCAAACTGGGTGGTTCTCGTTGGCGATGCATTGAGGCGGGCGGTCAATGTAACCCCGCGACTATTCATAAATTAGTTCTATGGGGTTTACAAATTAACATAGGAAAGAGGGAAATGAAACAAAATAACTGATATACGTATTAACCCTTTATTTGCCCAGAAAATACAAATTAATGATTGCAAGAATATTTTCCACTTTTAGATCGTAAATAACATGCATGTCTGGTATTTCATAGTTATTTGTTCTGGAATTGTAACCACAAAACGTTGTTCACAAAAATATATAATATGTACTCTTTAAAAATATGTATTGCATAATTATGGAACTGTTAACCGCTAGTTCGTTCTAGAACAAGATCAACCATGTTACTTTTATTAAATGCAGAAAAACATCATTAAAAAATAAATGCCAAGTAATAATAGAAGACTTGTTGTTTGTAACTGAAGGGCTAATCAAATAAATATGTTTTGTACAAAATAATAAACATGTACTTGGCGAAATAAATACCACAGGCATAATGTTACAGTTCGATAGCTCTTCAAAATAATGCTGGATTAAAAACACAGTAAACATTAATAAGATACATAAAAATAAACAATTTCGTAAATTGTTCCGATGATTCATTAGTTCCCTCATTTAAATTTACTACAAACACAATGTATAAAAAAATAGTACAAAATGTATCAATTTCAGTTACATTCAGTGGATAATCTAAAAATAGCAATAATACCGTCAGCACAGAACCTACCACAGAATATCAAATTCCTCAATTTTTAGGACCATTTGAAACTTAGACTTAAGACCAAATTCAATATCCATTGGGGAAGTTAGATATTACGTGGTACAGTCAGCATCAAATAGTTACCCAAAGTAGCCAAAAAGTTGATACAACCTTATTCCAATTGTAACAAAGACGTATTGCGAACTGTTTAGGTGTCACGAACTTTTGTCGCCAACTGTAGGTAGTACATAATGACCTGCCGGTGATAGCACTTAATAATCAACACAATAATGACAAGTAGGCAGGCGATAATAAGTAGGTAACGTTAAGTTGGTACTTCGGAGCAATTCGAGTTTTGCTATAAAAAGGGAATGAAGTTTCTTCTGAATTATAGTCACACGTATAGTGCCATTTAAATCACTAATGAAGATAGATTTTCATTCCCCAAAGACTCACTAGCCTTATAATCTAGGTCTATGCCAGTTTTCAAGGATATATGGAATGTTACTTCACTCAAAAAGCTCCGACGCGTGAGTATAAACATGAGACGTATTTTTCAAGCAATAGAATATCATTTCGCATACTAAATTGCACAAATGCGATGTGCATTCTTAAAAAATACGCCCATATGTCATACATTTGTATAGTCTTTAACAAGTAGGGTAAACCAGAGAGTGATTGCCCACTGGTAGTGATTGCCCGCTTTAAGAATAATATTGTCAGGTGCTGACTTTGAATCACTCTAGTTAGATTTGAATTTACTAAGTAGATGGCTCCGAGATCAATGAACAGTAGATTTAAAATTTACAATAGGAAACACTAAAAAAAAAACAGTTATGGCGGATTTTGTCAAGACGGGTGAAAATGTTACTCAGACAGGTAAAGACTTTAACAATTTTACTAAGGAATTACTTGCTTAGAGGTTAATTTTTTTTTGCAAGTTATTTAATATTCAACTAATGGTGTATAGTCATGATGAAATTATAAGTGTTTTCTCCATTATCAATGAAAATAACTGATAAAATTTGATTTCTAACAGTCATTTTAACGGTGGGTAATCACTGCACGTAAATCTGTATATTTTTAGTGATTGCCCACCATAATTTCAGTTATTGCCATATGTTAATGTATAGTTATTGCCCAGGGCAATTATTATTAGAGTGTTGCCACCATGCAGTAGCAGTGTTTAAGTTGCTCATTGCTAGATTTGTTTTGCAATTTACAGGCATAAATATTGAAATGACTTTTAATGTTTCATTTTCAGTATGCCAAAGACTCCAAAAGTTCAATATAGCATAGAACATTTGCAAAAAGCGATCAAAGCTGTACAAGATGTACCTATCCAACAATTTATCTACAAGATAAATTGCTGAAAAATATGGTTTGGCTTGAAAAAATTGATAAAAATTCAAACGCAAATACAAAAACTGAAAATCCTACATTAAATCTATTAGTGAAAATGTTAATTGTAAGGAAATAGATACAACTTTAGGGAAGAATAACCAACAGCTAATTGAACATTCTGAGCAACCACTTGAACTGATATCAAAGAAGATAAAAAAATAAATACATGTAAAATTCAAATTTTTGCGTCATCTATGTTTTGAAGTAGATGATTCTGTCTCTACCAATTCTGACTCATCAACATCAGCTCAAGAAATATTTGATAATATAGTTAATAAGGCCAAACGCAATTTATTTTGAAATTTTTGAAGACTGTACAACTAGAATTTAAGTTTAATGTTTTGTTATGTTTATTTAAAGACTACTTTGTCATTTTAAAATTGATTATTTTGTTTCAAGATACTGGGCAATTACTGTGCTGTGATGTGGGCAATTGGTGTAAGTAATGGGCAATGACTGTACTTTTTGGAGGATTTTAAATTTATTTCAATATTTTCTAAGTTACGTAAGTTTTAACTAAAAACTGTTAATATTCTGTTTAACAGTTTATGGAGTTATAAGAAAAAAGTCATAAATGGTCGATAATTAAAATACTTTCTTTAATTTTTCATCTCAATGTTTTTGAAATTCTTAAGTGGGCAATAGCTATACGGTTTACCCTACATTACATGTGTGACTTCCATGTTCTGCATTTTTAACAATGTAAATAAAAACAATGGAAAGATGAAACAACGGCCTATCGGGCCTATCCAACATGTCCACCATCTCTCTTTTTCTTTCGCGAATGAAAAGGGACAAGGTTATACTTTCAAAGTAAATTAACTTACGTTTTCGTAAGTAGTTTTTGTTTTGAGCAGCGTGGATTAAGTTTCCTATTAAATACTCTTGGCCTTTTTCATTCAGTAGGTAAGAAAAGAGATAAATAATACTTTAAAACACAGTGAACAATGTCAGAATCGACCACATTGTGTACTTTTCGGGGAAACGTTGACTCCTAAGTGTACATAAGTTAAATATTTCCGAATAAATTAATTCAAAGTAACCAACCTTATTAAACAAAAACCTCTTACAATTAAACTGTAACCAATTTCACGGATATAATTTCGTAATTTTAATGTAAAACTACATCAAACAACGTCAGCGTCGACTCGCGTTTATTATTATCATTAATTTTTATTAAAAGCAACGAACTGGACAATAAATAAACTTCTAATCTCGAACACTCTACCTAAAATTGTGACTTCTAGAGTTACAGGTTTCATCGTCTTAGCCGTAACGTAACAGTATTTGGCAATATCATTTTATAAACTGCATTCGTATCGTATGTAGGGTCAAGGAGGCAACAGTGACTCGGTCGGCTACAGTGGCTCAGTCATGTTTCGACCTGAAGGCATAGGAATATATATTTGTCTCTTTTACCGATTCAAAGGTCTTTGTACCCGAACACGTTTAAACCAGTTTGCTCGCCGGTCAAGTGCCGTGCGGAAGGGTGAGGGAATGTTTTTTGTTTTCGCGCCCTCTAAATTACATTCTAAGGTGAGTTTCGATTGTTTTCATATCTTTGTTTGTTGCTATAGGTAATAGCCGTTATATTTATCGGATAGTAGGTCTTGTATCAATTGTCTTTAATCCGAATTTTGACTAATTTGTTTTACATCTTGGTTTTTTTGATCAAATATTTACAAAATGGCGTAGAAGTACACAGTGACTCAATTTTAATACTTTATACGAATTCAATATTTTATAACTGTAAATCGAATTTTGTTTTTTATTTACAGAATGCCACGGAAAAAAACCGACAGAAAAATAGGGAAGAAATAAATAACGAAGAGATTGAGATGACTTAAGATCTTATAGGTAGCAATAAAAGTACTAAGAGTCGTGTTGAATTGTTGATTATAATAAGAATAGCTTGTGCAGTTTTGTTATTATTTCTAATAAAGAACTACGCGGAATGGGCATTTTCTTTTCATATAAATACTGCCTTACCACGTTAATACTGTGTACCACGGTAGTGAGTCAGTGTGTACACCTAGTAGTCCACAGTGACTCAATTATCATTTTTTTGTTTTAGGTTCCTACTTTGACATAAGTAGTAAATAATGTAGAATCATGAGTGCTCAGTTACAGTTCAATAGTGTATCTAAAATGTGAGCAAATTTTAGGCCAATATTAAAGCGATATCTATTTTTATTAAGCTTCGAAAAAAAAGTGAGTCACTGTTGCCTCCCTGACCCTACTACTCTTAATGCTAGTTTCACCAAATTTATCGTACAGTTTATTGAAAACTTAACATAATTTGTACATAGCCCGGATCAAAAGATTCGGGGTTGTGGTGAAACTAACGTCATTGCATTGTTTTTCACTTACTTGTATAATTATCTCTCGAGGACTTCGACGATTGAACCCTCGCTATAACTAAGCTAATGTTTCACCAGGTCAGTATTCCGTTGGAGACGCGGTGGCGGGTCCTACCAATCGATACGTTTCAAGCCCATCTGTGGTTTATTTCAATTTAGGATTAGCGTAACTTTGGATTAATTAACTGACAGTGTTAATAAATATAACGACTGAAAATACTTGGAGACTTAACGTCCATAATACGCCTCGTAAATCCAAGGGGAATTTCACATCACCCAGCCTTCCATTACGAACACATCATCATTGCCTAAATTGACTCTACCACGAATTGAATCAGGGACCCACTGCGTTCACCACGCCATTAGGATAAAGTTAGACTAATCCTAGATTTAAGAAACACGCAAATATGGACCTTAAACGTACTATTTCAGGACCCGCATTCGCCAAACGAACGGACACGTAAATCGAGCACTAAGCGGTCCTATCAAAACCGGCCTACATTAGTTAAGAATCACAAACTGCAATCGATGCTTTGACACATTACAATATTAAACAATATTAGAAACGGTCGACCAACTTGGACATCGTAGACGCTTATCTTAATTTGTGTGCGCCCAAAGTCAGCATCTTAGAGACTTCTATACCTAATTAAGTCTATGTTAGCTCGCGCGACGAACGCACGCGGAAGCGGGGAATTTAAACTTGTCTTAAACATTTGTCCGTTCACCAACTAAGACCTTAAGCTTGCAAACGACCAACACTTTTTCGGCAATATTATTCAACTTTGGTGTCGCGTCAGCGCCTATAAAATTATCTTAGAGTTTGACTCTTTTGACTAGTCACTCAGATGTGATACACAAACTGATAAATCGATTTGTGTTTTCTTAGTTTGCTTTGGACTTTCCAGGCGTGAATCAAACTGGCCGAAAAAAACACGTTAAGTTTATTATACTGAGCGCGATTAGAATTGTTTGGAATATTGTGTGAACTGCCGAAACATTTTCGAGCATGTGTATCTTGCCGCAAAACCGTTGGTCGTGTACAAGGCCTTTTATAGGATGACGAGGACCGCAGTCGACCCCTAGCGACCCCAAACTCCGATATGACCGAACCTCCCCTCACAATTCAGCCAAGTATTGCTTATTCCACTATAAGGAATCAATTTTCTTACACTTTGTGCACTTGTCTTACAAGCGTTTCAAAGTATTTAATCTAGTACTAGCCACAAGCGAAACTCAACTTTACAATCTGTACAGGTCGATATAACTATCGTTTTACAAATAAATTACTCATTAAAAAATCACTCATTTTCATAGTAATAAATACGTTAAACAACAACAAAGAAGTTACGATTGCTTTTATACAGGTCGTGATGCGGACCGCAAGCCATTTAGGAGGCTAACCTAAGGGAAAGTGACGAGCACTGAAGCTAGTGAATAACCTAGGTACGTTCACGTAGCGGCTCGCGCTCTAAGTCTCTCTAGCGTCTATCGAACGGAACAGAGGCTACTGAAACTCGATCGAAGTCATCATACCTTATATTTATAGAAGGAATGATAATTTCGGGTGCGTTCCTCCTAAATCGCGGTAGAGGGCGCCCGTATAAAAGCGCGGGCGCGGAATAGTGCCGCCCGGCCGACGGCTGGCTCCGCCCACTCATTCCCAGGCCTTGCGATGCGAGAATATCCAGTTTCCATCGCGACGAGATCAAAAGTGAATACTATCAGCACCGTGAAAACGACTGCCGTTCAAAATTGGACCTTAACCGTTTAAGTATTAGGAATATAAAATATTATGATCAAACCACTCGGAAGTTGGTTAGGTGATAGGCGGCTCACGTTGGAATGATGCTTTGACAACTAGAGAATAGAACAAGAATAGGAAGAGATTGAGTATCCGATTGGAAATTGGAGAATTGTAATATTGAAATTTTAGGCCTTCTAATGAATGAACGCGGCGAGCCACCGTCGACGCGCCGTAACCTATCACAACTGATCGACTAGTGAGCGACGACGCCGTTTCTCTGTCTGGTGAAGCCGTTTGTTGCCGCTTCGGTTTTCTTGGCGGGTGCGTCCTGGACGGGTGGTTCTACTTTGGCCTTCTTGCCCGTTTTGGGTGCGAGGTAGGCCTTGTAGAAGAACTGGGCGAATAGTACGAAGAAGGAGAAGTACATGGCCATGGACAGTTTGATGTTGATGTTGCTGATGTGGCAGGTGTTTGGCGGGGCGGTGGCCATGTAGTTGTGCGCCCACACGTTGATGCAGCATCCCACAATCATCTGAGTCAGCTGCATGGCCGTGATGAGCATGGAGATGGAGCGGGGAGGGTACTTGCCCATGCTGACGAGAGCGTAGTACGAGTACATCACGCTGGAACAGAAAACACACTGTTAAGTATACATGGTTTCATAATAGGGATGTTTCCTGGGTCAAAAAGTAAGAGTTTTAATTAGTCCGTCAGTTAACTTATCAAAAAATATTCTACACGTATTTTTCACTTTTTCAAACTAATGAAAATTTAAAGAGATAAAGCGCGTCAAAGTTCATAAGAGGCCCGTGACGTCAATGCGTGCATAAAAGTGCCGCACGTTGTGACGTCGTGCGGAACTTCAACGCACCATAACTATGTAATTATTTGGGTATCCTTCCGTTTGGCCAAATTACTTTTCGCCAAATTTCACTTCGCAAACAACTTATCGCCAAAGTTTCATTTCCCAAATGAACTTTTAGCAACTGTACTTTTCGCAACTAATTCATTTGGTCAAATTATCATTTGGCCAAATTTTACTTGGCAAATGTTTATATAGCAAATGTTTTATGTTGCCAAATATTATATCCCAAATAATTTGTTTGGTCAAATTGACACTTCACATACTTATCCACCGTTACCCACAAAATAAAATTATAAGGCACATGATCATGGTTTTCACAAGAATTTTATGTAAAACATTGCAGGAAATAGTATGGTTGCAAAAAGTAGGTATTACAGAAAAAAGTAGGTTAGGTTAGGTTAGAACAGTGACCCTTAATGCGCGAAGGCGAGCGAAGCGTGCCGCGGCAGCGGCCGCCGAGCGCTAGAATCACCTCTATTGTTAATGAATCGTTTGGAAATTTCAATAAAAAGAATGAAATAAGGAAATTAATGTAGAACAAATTTTATATTAACTACCCACTAAACAAAATAATAACCACAAGCTAATTTGTATCCATTCTATGCACCAATCAAATTATTTTGTAAATAGTTTATCGTGAAATATTTTTGCCTAATGAAACATTTGGCAAACCATACTTTGCCAAACAATAATTTGCTAAACAATAATATGCCAAAAACAACATTTGCGAATTAAAAGTTTGCAATAAGTTGCTTTGCCAAATGAGAATTTGCCAAATGAAAATTTGCGAAACGTTGTTTGCGATGTGATAATTTGGGAAACGTTTTTTGGCCAAACATTAGTAATCCAATTATTTGTTAGATTGACAAATAAAAAAATATGTGTCCAATATTTTTTGATATTAAACATGACGGACTAAAAAATTTTTTTAGGAAACTAGCCTATTGAGGCTATCAGCGTAAAAGTGGTGTAACCCCAACCTACATCATTAGGAAATAATTGAGGAATACACCACTCTTGCTCTATGGTTTTGTTTTAATATGCTCCGTGCAAAAACAAGGTTTACAGAGCCATCTGTTGACAGGCAGAAAAAGGTGGCTTAGGTCACTATTGCATTGAAAGATTATATTGTATTGTAACGAATGTATTTTACAACAAAACCGTACTAAAAAAAACTATGGGTTACTGTTACACCACTTTTGCGCTGATAGCCTCAATTAAGTAGCTTTTGAGTTTTGCCAGCGGTATCGCTCGTGTGGAATTCGGTATATCACAGAAAGAATAAATGGCGCCAGTCCCCTGGGCCTCTCAAAAACCAGATAAAAACCGTTGTCGCAGAGTCTCATATCAGTCTCTAAATTTCTTCAATATCGGAACAGCAAGATAGACAGTTAGCCACTTTCGTATTTTTATTATTAGTATAAATGCTATTAAATGGTATTGCTCTAGATATTAAAGATAAATTATTTTTTTATTAGATTAGGTATAATTTATGGCCAGCGTAAAAGGAGTGTATAGTGTTCAATTTAGTATTTAATACTTATTGTGATTTACATGAAAATTATACGATATTGTGTGAGATACATAATAAGTTCAAATCTAAACGTGCTATAATTAAATGACATAAATAATAATAACAGCAATAGACAACAAATATTACACTTATTATTTATAAGCTATTAAAAATATGAATTACCCAGTTTGGACTAATTAAGTAATTAGGCAAAATTAATAAGGTTAATTGGATACAATAAGTGATGTCACTTTTCGCAACATAGCGGAGTATTTATTGATTTTAAGGAACTAAAATGTAATTACAGTTAATTGAATACGAATGAGTTTTCTTAGTTAAGTGTTTGGTTAATCAACTACTCATTGTCTACCGTGCAAATGCTCATATTATGTATAATATTTTAAGATACAATTAATACTACTACTTTGCCTGGCCCATTCCCATTTTATTTGGGGTCGGCCCTCCGCGTCATGCGTCTCCAGGCGGCTCGGTCCTGCTGGGTTTAAGATACAATTAATAATATTAATTTTTTAACTTAACATGTTAGCAATAGTTTCATCTGGTTTCAATAGATGGCGTTAGTGTACCTAAACGTGAGAAATGTGTGTGTAAAAGCGAGTTTTTCACTTTTTCTTTAGTATTTAAATCAATGTGAACGACAATGAACCGATATCAATTTTATTCTCACATTAATGCTTTTGATAAGACAAAGTGCATAAATAGTAATTAATATTACGTTAAATACCTACTTTCTGTGATAAACCGAAATCCACACAAATAGACTATTAAATAGTCGTATAATAAAAAGTCGTAATTTAGCAATACGATTATACAGCTGACAGATCATTACACTACTTAAGTATATTTTATTGCAGTTACAAGGACTCTTGTACAAACGCATAATCTCACGAACGATATAGGTTTTCCCGCTGTACGAGTACAATCTCTACATAGCAAAATTATGATTGTAGGTAGTTTCCTGTACATACTTCAATTGATGCAGTCGGTGGGCCTAAAATAGAAACAAGCAACTGTGCGAGCCAATTCCCACAGTGACTCATTACCGTAACTTTTCAGTGAAACAGTTGCGGAGCGGAGTTTATGATCTAGAAATATTTATAAAATTAAATGTCATTTACAGCATTTGTATAAATATTCTTCTTCTTGTCGTGTCTACAACAAACCTACACAGTGTCAGCCCAAAACTCCGCCACAAGAGTGGCGTTGTCAGAAGCCTTCATTAAATCTTCCTGCGTACAGTTGTTTGGGCACGCAGGGCACGACATCATGTGCTTCGTCGACTGGGGAACAAAACCACACTTGCACTCCAAGTTTGAGCCATCCAAGAATCCCCACTTGAACATATTGTCCTTACTACGGCCGACTTGCGTCCGAAGTCTATTTAAAGACTTCTTGTATAAATATTATAAATGTCATATACAACATTTGTATAAATGTCATTTACAACATTTGTATTGCCAATTTATTCTGAACGGGGATTTTTATTTTATTACGTGTTGACTGTGACCATAATCGCGTTATTGATAGTTCATTGTAACTGAATATGCGCTCAAGGTAAATTGATTTTGTAGTACGTTCTAGAGATATGAAGTAAATTGGAAAAACAGTCACGTGAAATTGGTTTATACAACACACTTACTAGGGCTAGCATAGTTAGTTATTTGAGAATCTATTTTTTTACACTTCATTTTTCCTGTAATTATCCCAACTATCCCAACTAATCCCAACTAATATTATAAATGCGAAAGTAACTCTGTCTGTCTGTCTGTCTGTCTGTCTGTCTGTTACGCTTTCCCGCTTAAACCTCGCAACCGATTTTGATGAAATTTGGCATAAAGATAGTTTGAGTCCCGGGAAAGAACATAGGATAGTTTTTATCCCGGTTTTTGAAACAGGGACGCGCGCGATAAAGTTTTTCTGTGACAGACAAAATTCCACGCGGGCGAAGCCGCGGGCGGAAAGCTAGTTAACAATAAAGTAAATAATTAATTTGGATATTCTAAATGATTTCGATCCAATTTAGTAAAAGTTTAGTGCGATAAATTTCTTTTTGTATCTATTCTAATAGTTTTTAGTACCCAGCCTAGATTGGCCGATTAGCCGACCCGGCTGTGTGTAACGCCCCCTAAAAAGTCTAGATCTGATAAGCTTGTCAATTTTAGGCATAGCGTAGCAATAAAAAATAGAGGTCATTCACCCCCGCTGGCGACCTCCGCAAGAGAGCGGCAATCGGCATCTTGGCAGCGCCGATAAAGGTTAGTGTCGATCGTTGTACCAGAGTAAATACAAATGAGTAGGTCATCTTCATAGAAACCCACCGAGCGCGGTTAGTATGTGAGCGCGCGCCAATACGTATGCGGCGCGCACGCACACACTGACAAAATTCGGGGCAACTCACCGCTAATAATTAACGCAAAATTTTGTCAATGTGTGCGTGCGCACCGCATACGTATCGGCGCGCTCACATACAAATCGCTCTCGGGCGTTTCTATGAAGATGACCTACTCATTTGTATTTACTCTGGTTGTACGCTGTGTTCATCAATGAATCATTATCATTAAGCAAGTTACTCATTAATTACGATTTACATTGTTTGAAGTTGACATCATTAGTGAATGTACCTATTTTTAACCGACTTTATTTGTGATTTTAATCAACGGTATTAATAGATATTGCGTGTAAAATGTGTAGATATAAGCTAGAGTTGCTGAGTAAAAGAGAAAATATTAATCATTCGTTTTGAATCTCATTACTGTTGAATATAANAATAGTGTTGTGCAGGGACTGGAAATGATTGACAATGGACAAGGCAATTTTGTGTGTGAAGCTTGTGCATATGGGAAGCAATGCAAGTTCCCATTTCACAAATCTGAGCGAGGAGAACTACAGCCAGGTGACTTAGTTTATAGCGACGTCTGTGGACCTATGAGCATCCCATCTATTCAAGGTATGAGATATTTCTTACTTTTCAAAGACGCTGCAACAAGTTACAGGCATGTATATTTTATTAAACACAAAAGTGATGTAATGGAAGCCTTCAAGAAGTACAATGCTATGATCAAAAATAAATTCATGCACAATGTCCGTATACTACATACTGACAATGGAACAGAGTATGTAAATCAAGTTTTTAGGGAGTATCTGGAGCGAGAGGGGATAGTTCATGAGCGTACTGCACCATATACACCCGAACAAAATGGTCGAGTAGAACGGGAAAATCGTACCATAGTAGAGAGTGCACGTTCAATGCTGTATGCGCGAGACGTCCCATTGGAGCTGTGGGCAGAAGCTGTACAGTGTGCGACATACATATTGAATAGAACGTCCTCCAGCCAGACTCCAAATACAACAGCTTTTGAACTGTGGAACGGGATCAAACCTCAATTAGGACATGTTAAGGTGTTTGGCAGTATCGGATATGTTCATGTTCCAGATCAAATGAGAACGAAGTTGGAGAAGAAGAGCAGAAAGATGATACTTGTTGGTTATGACAACATGAACTACAGAATGTATGACATAGATACAAAGAAAATAACAATCTCAAGAAATGTTATGTTTGACGAACATCGTGTGCCAAGCACTAGGAAAAATATTGCACAAATAAGTATTGTTGATGATGAATTTTCAAATGAGAGTGAAACACAAGAATCGAATGGGAATGATACTCTAGTTGACAGCCCGTCAGCGGAGAGTGAAGACAGCATGATGAGTTGTACCGCTGATAACAGTGATGACCCGGACTATGAACCATCTCGAGAATTAGAAGACTCAACAATACGCACAATAAATTTAAGACCACGAATCAATAGAAACTATGAAGCAAATCTCGTAGAGCTTTCATTGCCTCAGACCTATGAAGAGGCACTGAATAGTCCACAAAAAGATGAATGGTCTAAGGCTATAAAAGAAGAATTGTCTGCACATAAAGAAAACAATACCTGGACTGCGGTCAAAAGGTCTGGTCAACGAACCCTTACTACGAAGTGGGTTTTTACTGTAAAGAGGAATGAGAATAATGAAATTGTACGCTATAAGGCTCGTTTATGTGCACGAGGTTTTAATCAGATTAAGGATGTTGACTATCAGGAAATATTCTCTCCAACAACCCGTTACGATTCAATAAGAATTATGCTTTCTATTGCTGCAAAGTATAACTTAGAAATTCAACAATTTGATGTAAAGACTGCTTTTTTAAACGGGTATCTTGAAGAGGATATTTTTATAGATATACCTGAGGGCTTGTCAATTAAGGGTGATTTTGTATTAAAATTAAATAAATCGCTGTATGGCTTAAAACAAGCATCTAGATGCTGGAACAAAACATTTACAGATTTTTTGCTTAAATATGGTTTTGTTCAATCTCAAGCTGATAATTGTATTTACATAGGAATTTTTGATGGGACTAAAGTATTCTTAATAATTTATGTCGATGATGCCCTTGTAATATCTTCAAATAAAAAACTTATAAAAGAGATTTTAGAATATTTAAAACAAGCTTTTAAAATCAAAGAGTTAAAGTTCAAGTATTTTGTGGGCATGCAAATAGAGTGTATGAATAACAGTATGTACATTCATCAGGAAAATTATATTAATCAGATTATTGAGAAATTTTGTATGAGTAATGCAAATCCTGCCAGCACTCCAGCAGATGTCAATGTTATTATTTCAAAGAATTTGGATGAAACTGTTGTTGACTTTCCTTATAGAGAGGCTATAGGTTGCTTACTGTTTCTGAGTTCTGTCTCAAGGCCAGATATTTCATTTTCTGTCAATGTATTAAGCAGATATGTAAACAACCCAAGTCCACAACATGTAAATGCTGTTAAACGTGTAATTAGATATTTAATTAAAACTAAAAATTTGTGTATAAAATATAATGGAGAAAGCAAGGGTCTTGTTGGGTTTTCAGATTCAGATTTTGCAAATGATATTGATACACGTAAATCCACTACGGGATATTTGTTTATGATGAATGGAGGACCCATTACATGGTCCAGTCAGAAACAGAAGACCATTGCTCTTTCCACTACAGAGGCTGAGTTTGTAGCTGCCAGTGAGTGTGCTAAAGAGATATTGTGGTTGCAGCAGCTATTGTCAGATTTGGGTGAAAGTTATGACTGTATCACATTAAATGTGGATAATCAGAGTGCAATCAAATTAATTAATAACCCTGTTTACCACAAGCGTACGAAACATATAGATGTTAAGTATTACTTTATAAGGGAAAAAGTTGAACTGGGTTTAGTTAAAATTAATTATGTTCCAAGCAATTGTCAATTAGCAGACATTTTGACTAAAGCGCTGCCCACTCAAACTTTTGCATATCTCAGAGATCAGATTTTAGATAGAGTTGAATAATTTTTGTTTGATATTAGTTTGAAGGAGTTAAATTTTAGTGGGAGTGTTGAATATAAAAAAGTAAGAAAATTTAACTTTATGGTTTATGTTTGTTATGGCAACATTGACGGCCATTTTTTTCATTCTAATTCGTCTTCTTGCGTGTCATGTATAACGAAGTAAATAAAACAAGTTTTCTGTTATTTCAAGAACTGATTTTCATTGAAGAAGCCTATATTCCAATAATTACATCTGTATAATGTTAAAAATTGTAGGTACGTTGTCACAGAATATATTTAAATTTTAAATTCATAAATTCAGCATATAAACAGACAAAGGGTTAGCCAATTTACATAATCTTTCATGATCTTTATTTGTTATCGAAGACTTTTAAGTTCTTCTACCCACTTTAACTACTTATTAACTTAATTATGAACCGTCGCTTTCTACGGTTGTTGATTATTTTGTTAAAAAGCCACTTATTGTTTTAATTCTTAATTTGTGAATTGCACTTCTAAGAAACAAATTGACTCGAATTTTAGTAATCAGCATTGTATTGTGTTGAATGATGGATTTCCACAAAGGACCGGTCTTTGTGGAAATCCTTGGGGGAGGCCTTTGTCCAGCAGTGGACGTCTTTCGGCTGAAACGAACGAACGAACGAACGAATGATGGATGCATGCACACACATATTGTGACACTGAACCGATCGTGGTAGATGTAGTTAGAGATACAATTAGGACTAAAATTAGAAACATCCGATTTTTAATAAGACTGTGCTACCGCTTTAATGGTAACCACCAACCACACTTACAACATTTTTTACTTATGCCCTTAAACCTTCATTGCAGTTACGACAAAAAAAATGCAACGTATGAAACTCAATCTTACTTTAATTATAGTTCGAGTCTCTCAACTAAGAGCTAGATTTAGATTTCTAAGTAATATTTCTTACTAATGAAAGTAATGATCAGTCTATTTATCGAAACATTGAAGTGTCGGGCGAATATAAGACTTTCTAGATGGCAATTGCCATTTGATTGAGAAAAAAACGACAATAAGATTGCGGTTGTGCCGATAATGTCTTTGCTAACGGTACCCGAATTGGCACTTTGTGAGGCCTTGTAGCCCAGAGGCGAAAAAGTTATACTGTACTAGCTTTCCGCCCGCGGCTTCGCCCGCGTGGAATTTTGTCTGTCACAGAAAAACTTTATCGCGCGCGTCCCTGTTTCAAAAACCGGGATAAAAACTATCCTATGTTCTTTCCCGGGACTCAAACTATCTCTATGCCAAATTTCATCAAAATCGGTTGCGAGGTTTAAGCGGGAAAGCGTAACAGACAGACAGACAGACAGAGTTACTTTCGCATTTATAATATTAGTTGGGATAAGAAACCAAGTAGGAGATCATAGTGCTAAGACAAGACACCTATATTATAATACTGACTGCGCCTATCTATATATATAAAAATGAAACCCGTTTCGCGTTGTCACGGCATCACGTGTGAACGGCTAAACCGATTTCGATAATTCTTTTTTTTAAATGTTTGTGGAAGTCCAAGGATGGTTCTTACGGAAAAAAATATTAAGAAAATCTCTACGCTAAGGCGGTACGAAGTTCGCCGGGTCAGCTAGTTTCAGATAAAAAGATAAGTTTTTTTTGTGACAGGAGGCAAACGAGCAGACGGATCACCTGATGGTAAGTGATTACCGTCGCCCATAGACACCCGCATACCCAGGGGCGTTACAGGTGCGTTGCCGGCCTTTAAGGTGAAGATACGCTCTCTTCTTGAAAGCTTGCAGGTCGTAAGTTTGAAGTATGAAACTACTGACGAATAGATGCCAATCGGTAAATAACACAAAATTATACTTGAAGATTTTACCTTTAACCCCAAAAACGGCATATCAGAATGACGTCTAAAACATTTTAATTTACATAAAACAACAATTTCTAACAAGTGAAATACTTGCCGCTGAAATAACAAAATAATAAGTTGTTGTTTAAAAAACATATCTGCGTAATTTTGCAGTTACAAAGATTGTTTTGTCAAGATGTATTCTGTTGTTTTTTTAACGTTTAGACTTTGGACTATCAAACATCAAAGATTTGCACAAGCCTTTATTTTGAATTAATAAGACAAGGGTTGTTTCGCGTTTTTCTTTAATTTAACTGAATATTTTTGTACTAAGGTAAGCAAGCGATCCTAATTTTAATGCTGCACACCTACGCTGCACTGTGTGTGTCGCTTTTTTTTATTGATATTGCGATTATCATTCGCAAATTTTTAAAGATTAGAATGCTTCGGCAACAACACGAGTCCCCATGAGGTTCTTTTAATGTGAAGTTGCAGCTCTTCAAATCCTTATTTCGTTATAAAACTCAAAAATCAAACTATTCTTAAAATCAAATTTTTGTGGCTCTTCCATCTCAAACAGTTGCCTCATATACATCAGGACTGTGATGTGAAACTACCAGCGCGCTGTCTCGAAAGTTTTAGGAGATGTTTGTGCATGGTTTTTTACTAATAAAATAATAGTTAAAATGTTATTTATATTTTTCTTGTAATTACTTTAATGTGACCCTTGATATGGGCGTTGTTTTAAAAAACCACAACCTGTATTATTATAAGAAACTCACCTATGCACGCAGTAGTTCATGACGACGAACCAGCGGGCGGACGACGTGTACTCGGTGAAGGAGAACCACGTGTACAGCAGGACAGTGATGTGGTGGTACCAGTGCAGGAAGATGAGCGGCTTCTTGCGCAGCACGATGAACACCGTGTCGCCCAGTTCCGGCACTTTGGACAGCACGAACATGTACGTCCAGAAGCCGGCCACGCGGTCCACCTCGATGAAGCTGGAATTTGGAGAAGATCACGGTCATTCTATGAAATTACACAAGTTTTTGGACTTGTTATAGTCTGGTCTGTGAGCACGTAGAATTTTGTCCAATGACCCCTAGCTACCCATCCTTATCGCTCGCGCGTAATTATGTTGCTATCGCGCTCGCACACTCACTGCGGGTGCCAGTCGCACAGTCGCGACAGCAATATAATAACGCGCGAGCGATAAGGATGGATAGCTAGGGGTCATTGGACAAAATTCTACGTGCTCACAGACCGGGCTTTAGATGTAAATGTCACGTAAAATGTCACCAAGGAACAAATATCTGATCTGACCGTCAGGCTTTCTCAACAAGCCCAACATTCAGGGGGTGTAGTGTGAGTTTAAGTCAAACGCATTCGACATCGACTGAGTTTAAAAAAAATGAAGATTTTAGTTCTTGAAATTTTCCGCTAGGGGCGCTATACAATCCGTCATACATTTAACTTGTTACTTTGTTGTCACTTTTTAAGCAGTCGATATCGAATGCGTTTGACGTAAGCTCACACTACACCCCCAGAGAAAAGGTGAAGGTTAGCCTAAACGTGTATTCTTGAACAAGATGGATAAAGATGCATTTATTGGTTTTATTAACCTTAGACGTGGATGTATTTAAAGGCGATTGTTTTGTTTCGGCATTAAGAGGTAAGATCGCCAGTTTCTCTGTGGTTGAGGATTCTGAATGAAGCTTCTTCTACCTTTGGACTAATCATCACTTTCCATCAAGTGAGATGCAGGCCAAGAGCTTCTTTTTGTGGAAAAAAATGACAAGCAAACAGGTATGCGAACTTTTTACGTACCTAAACCACATTGATCTGCCAGTTAAACATTTCTTCCACCGTGAAGATCTTTTCATCTGAATATTTATGTTAATGTTTATGTTACAGGAAATGTATGAAATCCGTCATTGTATACAATTCCTGGAGTTCATACATTTCCTGTAACATTTACATTAATATTGTCTTAAGAGACAATATGAACACAAGAGGTATTAATCGTTGTTTTCAGTAACTATTTTTTGTTATTTGTTCTGTATCTGTGCAAGTCGAGCATTATTTTTACAGGAAGAAGGATGTTCTAGTTTCATTGACACTTCATTTGCTATTCAACTATAACCTATAACACTATGTAAATACATGGTTTTTCCTGCTCCAAGCCAAGGTCAGTTATGTACGTACATACGAGTAATCTGTTTACATTTAAAGGGAGACTGTTATCTTCATTGTAACCTTTTAAATGGCAAAAAATATCAGTGTAATTTAAAATAAACACCATTATTCCATACAATAGCATTGCATGACCGCTAATAAGTCGTTTAGCCACTTGCATATAAGGAGTACTTAGACAATGTGCGCAAATAACGTGCTGTTGACAAGTATTTTACTACAAAATAAGTACTGGTATAATGTATATTCTTAGACTTGTTAGTATAAAGTGGTCTATCTTAGAAAATCATTCTTATTTGCTAGGGTGAACACTTGAAAGGCATTAACAGATAGGCAGTGCTAAAATACAAGAAACAAAAATAAACTTGCCGTTCCAAATTTCAGACGGCACAAGATTGGTAATTCATTTATTAAACTTTTCAATAGATTACCACAAACTGTTGTAGAATTGCCATTCATAAATTTAAAGCACATATCAAAAGCACCTTAATGAAAAAGGGCTACTATAAAGTTGATGATTATATAAAAGATAAAAATGTTTGGAATGTTTAACTACCTAGCTCGCATCAATACTTATGACTATAATTTGTATATTTTAAAGACTGTAAACCCTTGAAAAGGAGGCTGACAATAGTGACTGAGTTTCTTGCGCTGCTTCTTCTCAGCACTGGCCCATTTATTGTCCCGAAGCAGTGGTAGGGTTAATATTGGGACGTGTAAAAGTGCTTTTTAAAAGCCTATTTGCAAAAATAAATGAATTTTATTTTAATTTATTTTATGTACCTATTTTATTGTAAAAATTAAATTAAAAACGTGTTGAATTATGAAATTCATCAAATTAAAATCTAACCGTCACGTTAATTAAAACGAAAGTATTAATTAAATAATTTAATTATTGTTTCTAATGAAAGTGACAATCCGATCCAATTTAATGTTGTTTTTAAAACATTTAACCATTTAGAGCGGTAGCCATTTCATCCTGAAATGAATCTTTAACAGAAATGCAGAACACCTCAAAGATTTCAAATTGGTAATTATTGATTAGTTGATTACTAATTGCTTTAACACATTGAACGTTAAAATGCTAATCGGCTATACATTCTCAATTAGGCAAAACGTTTAGCCGTACATTTGTTTAAATTATGTATACGACTGCTTACACTTGGCTTTCATTTTAGGTGCCATGATTTTAAATGAATGTTACGTTCTTGTTATTGTAATTTTTCATTTTATGTGCTGAACATATAAATTCATTTTCATGATTTACCATAAGTTCAAATTAAGTACATATTATTATCTATAATTTATACATAAACGATTAGCACATCAAGGTAAATAGCTATGACAACTTCTGTCTTCTGTCAATATCCATCAAAAATGTATATATATGATAATGGGCTGTTAACCTTTGTTACTTGAGAAACTGAACGGTGGCTCTACCAGGGGATTCCGCTAATTTATTTAAATATTCAAAGGTTTTAGCAATAATTCCAAATAAGACGTAGTTGAAACATAAATAAATCACAACAATATGTTAGAATTTACATGTCAACGAATAGGCTTGACAAGTCATCAACAATGTCATGCGTTAACGCCTATGTATTTTCTTTTGGCTTTAGTTAAGTACTATTAATTTGTTTATAAAAACAAACAAAAAATGGAATACCAATAAGTAATAAATTACGAGATTCGATCCTAGTTCATTTGGAACAGAGATCACTAGCGCCAATAAAACCACTATAGCACTACAGATGGTGCAGACCACCGCATAAAAAATATTGGATCGTTTTAATATCGGCAACACTAATGAAACTTGCAATTCCAATACTAAAGGGTGAAAAATTGATACTTCAAACGATAGACAAAGTTTTCCATCAGATGCTCTTCAAGATTCATAGAACTTTGACAGTTGGAGGTTTGAGAATGTTTTCGGCATTCAATCAATATCATTAACTTATACAGGGTGTTAGGTAAATGGGTATATGCGCAGACACTAGCCCATGTTAATATGGGCATATAAATGGTATGGTGAAGTCAGAAAATCGAAATCATCATTTTATTTGTTTAAATTTTCATACAAAACAAATTTTATAAAATCCGATTTGTATGAAAATTAAAATAATTAAAATGAAGATATCAATTTTATGACTTCACCATACCATTTATATGCCCATGTTAACATGGGCTAGTGTCGGCTCATATACCCATTTACCTAACACCCTGTATAATGTTGACCTGTAGGCCTAAGATGCGCGCCGCGATAAGCGGTTATCACGCCATTTTATCGATTTTGCCCATACATTTTGACGTCGATAAAAGTTATCACGGCGCGCATCTTAGGCCTACAGGATCTCAATACTCAAAAATCTTTATTGCATTTCACAAGCTACACAAACAAGCGACTTAATCGTTAAAGATAATGAAAAACATCACTGTTATATTAAAATTGTAGTGGTTGAATCTACGTTGTTCAAACATGCACTGTTTTTGCAAATTGCAAGCAGTCGTCTTACAGGCTAAATCAAATAGGTATGACGTAATTATGTACGAGTATAAAATTGATCAGTACCTAATCAAGCAAAAGGTAAAAGAAGCAGAACCCAACCCAAGTGAATTTTTAATTGTGTGGTTTAAAGTTTGTTTATTTTTAACTTTACTTTTAACGGTAAACCTCTCTCAAGTCAAGAGGTCAGTTAAAATTGGCATTCTTCCGTAACCTTTGCATTTCGGTGCCTGTGGAAAATTCCCCCGAAGGTGCATCAAAACAGGCTCCGATGACATTCAATGAAAGTGGATATTTACATGAACATAACGAGAAAACCAATGGCAATGGCGTATTGTGGATTTGTGGACGATGAGGACGGAGAAGAACACAAACCTGACCGTAGTTCTAATTTTATGTGCTCGGCAAATGAACTCTACATAGCCATAGGCTTAGATTATTAAATGGCTAGATGGATAGTATTCGTAAATGTAATGTCATTACTGTCAAAATGTGAAAAATATAACCTTAAAGGCGATTTTTTCGAAAGTTGATTATATTTTGTTATTTAATAATGATTCAATAAGACATTTAATTAAAACAATAAAGTTTGTCGGATTTTTTGTAGTCGATGAGACGTTTCAAGTGGACCAGTACCTCTAGTAGGAAAAACTTTCGAGTTCGTTTCGTTGCGTATTCAAAGTGTCATCGAAAAATTTTGTATGAAAAATTAAACAGCGCCCCCTAGGGCGGCTATAATATAGGGGGCGCTGTTTAATTTTTCATACAAAATTTTTCGATGACACTTTGAATACGCAACGAAACGAACTCGAAAGTTTTTCCTACTAGAGGTACAGAATGGTCCGCGTTGCGATTAGGTACTATCTATCTAGGCTTTATTAATCTATGGCCATGGGACAGCATAAAAACTAGTAGTTGTGTAGCGAGTCTATTAATAAAGTAGTAATAATTCGTCTAAAACATGATTGCAATACTATTTATAAGGCAACTAATGAAATCAATAGCACGCGATTGTCGAGATGAGTTAGTTTAACGGGCTCGAAAAAAGAAAGTTTGTTGCTGAAGAAAAATATCGCGAGCTATATCTAGAAGGTCAAATTATTCGTTCAGCCATCACATCGATCAGTCTTTTCGGAGCAATCGATCATCGGAATCAAAATGCGATTCATTACTAAGACGTCGTTAGGATTGCTGATTAAAGGACAATGTTCATTTCTGGCCTGGCGTGGACAAGCTGCTAATGAAAATATGAATTTGCCAAAATTTTTTAATTAATTTTTAAAGTATACACTTAGTGTAACTTTGTATCAATTTGCCTTTATAAAAAACCATTTTAAATAGTACTTTATGTGATAATTACAACTTCCTGTCTTTATCACTCATTTCAGTGTTGCCAAAATGAATCTTATCGGTAAGAATCGATTCATATCGATTGTTGTTCGACTATGACAATTATTATTTTTTTAAATACGTATTCATTAAAATGACATTTATAAAACCTTTTTAATATTCTAATAACACTACCAAAAATATTTAAATAACTAAATGAAATCTTATTTCACACACACCTCATTATACACCTTATTTCGAGTCATCAAAAATACAATCGATTTTTATATCGATTATTTTTATTCATCACCACATTATTAGCATGGCAACACTGAAAATATTGTCACAGCTGTTATCTGTCATTCGCTTTGTTTTGTATTTTTCATCGTGAGTGTTGTTTAGTTCTCAAAACCATAGAGAAAAGTAATACATAGGAAATAGAGAACCCTCTCTGTCAAATTTTTGAGCCTACTAATTGACAGCCTGGTGTTAAATTCGCTGTACTTAACCTACGTACGTAACGCTCACATACACACATAGTACACGCACACATACATACATAAAGTCCACGCACACATACACACAGTTCACGCACACATAGGCCCTCATAACCTTCAAAGAATTATTGTTTTTTTGATGTACAATGTAGAATTTTTTCTAATCCATTATTTTGAAAGTATTTATCTTTATGGTGTACGTATTGTATTATTTTCAAAACAATGGATTTGGAAAAATTCTACATTGCACATGGAAATGCAACTAAAAAAAAACTTTTCAATTTAATAATTTTACTTTATTTATGAACACACATAA